AGCCTTGTAATCTACACTTCAGCCTAAAAACCACTCAACCAGCATGTGTTACATTTTGTCACTGTTCTTTCCTCGTTGTTGAATTAACATTCTGTATGAACATGTCAGCTCTTGCATTCTTTTCCATCCACAATTACCTTAAAACCATGACTGAAGATGGATTCAATGATGCCCCTGCTCTTGAACTAGCTGACATTGGTATAGCTATGGGCGTTGTTGAAATGAGTAAATACTTAGTTTCCAATCTTATTATGTCCACCTTACATCACTTTTTAGTTTCCTATACATAGATCTACCACTCTTCTCAATTGTCGTATTATTTCTGCTTGAGGAAGCCTGTGAAATTATTATTATTTTTACAAAGTGCAATTCCAAAGAATGGTTTTATTGAAGGGAGTGTGGTGTAGGTTATCAGAGAATGATTGTTTCTTAGATTTGCTGCTTTTTAGATAGCCAAGAGACAATGCTTAAGAGCATCAACTTTGCTCTAGAGATTTACTTCCTCCTCTAATCCCCCATTCTTTGCTTCTGTTTCGTACCAGAATAGGTGCTGCTGAAAGTGAACAGTTCTTACCGGCAGCCCAGCGGTGTGGTCTCCAGCTCATGGATCTCATCATTATTGTGTCCAAGGTGTTTGATCAAGCACCAATAAGTTGGATTTGTGTGAGATTAAACTGTAAGAACTCATTCAATTCATGATTCTAAGACATAATAGTTGTACATGAACGTAACTTTGAAAAGACATGAGACACCTGCATTTGTAGAGTTATAAATCTGATGAATTATTATCTAATATAGGATGTTGTGCGAACGTCAGCTATTTTGGTCACATGTTACTGTCGAATGTTAAGATCATGCTACAAATGCAGCAACAGATATGGATCATAGTGTAAAAAATAACCATCTTTCTAATGGTACAGATATGGGTCAGCAGAACCCAAGTACGTAGCTGCCAGTCTACCTCGACATCTCAAACCGATATGTATATAACACCACCTCCAGGACAAAGCATGGCAACACGTTTATGGACTTTTAGACGTTTTCACTCCTGTGTACACTGCATGCTTATCTTAGAATACCTCTACTTTTAGACCCTGTCTATTCTCTCTTTGTATCGTAAATGTAAGTACGGATCTTTTACTCAAGTATTGCTTTAATCCATCATGCCTCGTGTTACTGTCTATCATTTGATCGTGATGATGACCATGATCTGAAAACATACAGGCCCACCTTGTTCCGTCTTGTTTACATTTGGTCCGTGCTTATTACAGGCCGTGATTTTAAATGCAAATTATGACATGCTGCTCATGAAACCTACAACTGCTTCTTATGATGGCAGCTTCAAAATGCATTGTCAGCCTGATGTATCTTATGAAATTAAATATGGCTTCACCCTATGCTATTGTGCAATACTTTATGTATATACTGCACTGTAGCTACCAGCGCGCAAGGGCGCGCGCCTTTCACTCACTACTAGAGAAAGGACTTTTAGTCCCGGTTGGGAACTACCTTTACTCCCGGTTTCCCAACCGGGACTAGCAATTCGGGACTAAAGGTTGGTCTTTAGTCCCGGTTTGCCACAACCGGGACTAAAGATTCTCCCAGCTTTAAAAAAAAATAATGCCTCCTACCGCTGCGCTCCGTGAGATTCGAACCCAAGACCTCATGCACTGCCTCGCGCGGAGCTTGCCATCCCACCTACACAACACATCTAACAATGGATGGGATGTTTTCCTTTTGAACTAACCCATCGGGCAACCGGGACTAAAGGGTCCTTTAGTCCGGGTTGGTGTTACCAACCGGGACTAAAGGGTCTACCTTTAGTCTGGGTTGGTATTACCAACCGGGACTAAAGGTTGGAGGACTTTTTAGTCCCGGTTGGTGGCTCCAACCGGGAGTAAAGGAACCTTTAGTCCCGGTTGGTATTAACAACTGGGACTAAAGGTCCTTTAGTCCCGGGGGCAAAAAAATGCCGAGGCTAATGCTAAATTAGGACATCGTTCTAAAGTCTGTTCTCTAGTAGTGACTAGTCGTATATGTATTTCATCACGTATGATTGCTACCGGTTTGATATCTAAATCCTAGCTCCCTTCGCCCCTGACCACACGACACTGACGGCCGAGAGAGTCTGACCTATAGTTGTAACGGACAATGACGGATGAAGAAAATAGAGATACTGAGAGCAGATTTTTACTTTCCCCTGAGTGGCAGGCAAATCGCGTCTGGAGGAACGTGGTGCGAACCACACAACGCTTAGCGGCGACGGAAGGCCAACAGTCTGTTCTTGTGGTTAAAAATGTACGCTAAAGAAAAAGAAGCCCTTTTCTTTTCCATCTGTAAAGAAAAGAATAAGAAGAAAGACCTAGCTAGGTAGCGCTGCTTGTAGTATTAATTCGGTCGTCCTCCACTGCATCTGCAGCGACCCAACCCAAGCAAGTCCTCTCCTATTCTTCCTGCCTGTCCTGTGTGCCCCCGTCTCCGTGCCATCTTCCCAAATCTTTAGCTCACGGCTGGTGTGCTGCACTGCAAACCAGCACCCCTGCAGCCTGTGCTGTTCATGATGCCGAGCCTTGAGAGAGAATGGGGCCGCTGCTGTCTCCATGGCCGCGATCTTCTCCACACTAGTCGTAGTGGTAACGGCGACGCTGAGCCTCAAAACCAAACTCATGGCCTTGTCATTGGCATTGGGTGGCCTCTACCTGGTTTAGCGTGTCCTGGTGGGAAAGCGCCGTCGCTCGGGGCACTGGCTCGTCCAGTACGGTGCAATGGCAGCCTACTACTTTCCGCTCCTCTCACATTTTATGCTGCCAAAGCTGTGTACTCCACCTCCCACATCGATGAATCTACCCCTTTCCTCGTGGCCGGCGTCGTCTGCATATTATGGGCATCTATTGGCGTCCAATACACACTGCTTTTTGAAAACTCAATGGTCTCCCCAACGACCGCCTCATCATCATCCGTTTTAGGCCTAATCCTAATGCGCGGGATGTTTTTGACCCGTTTCAAGCTCAAACGGGTGGTGCTTACTGGAGGAACAAAATAGGCCAATACTCAATTCTCCAAGACTACAACCGTCGTCCCTCTCCCAAGAAGGCACTTGTAGCCTGGTTCCACGGAATTGTGCTATCCCAACCATCGTATGGGTTCATCAATCATCTCCCAGTAGAAGAAGAACAAGTCGATATGCTGTAGCTGGACAACATGAGAGAGTTGGTTGCCGATACTCTCCGAGATATAGATGGCCCGCCAACAAACGGTACCAGATCTCTGAAGATTACCATGGATCAGATAAACTGGGACGAGATAAGCAGGGGCAGTGCTGGTTATGACTGGTTATTGACCTGCAAGCAAGAAACTCACACGGACACCATCCTCATATGGCACATACCAACCTGCTACTGTGACATGTCACTGCGCCATTGTGATCGAGCTACATGTTCAAGATCGATGAAGTTGCCACAACATTGTCAAGATACTGCACCTACCTAGTGGCCTTTCTTCCGGAGTTCCTCCAGGAGCACAGCCTGACCACCAAACAAGTGTTTCAAAGAGTCTTACTGGAAGCATAGCAAGAACTAGGAACAAAGCCAATGAAGGACGAGGAGAAGCGAACCAAGATCCGAGGGCTACCGCTACCAGACCAGCAGGAGCAGCAGACGACCTTTCACAAGGGTGTTGAGCTGGGGCGACAACTGGAGATGATCGATGACGACAAGGTACGCTGGAGGTTCATTGTAGAGTTCTGGGCGGAGACAATCCTGTACGTCGCGCCGTCTGAGAACGCGGAGGCACACATCGAGCACCTGGCCAAAGGCACGGGGAGTTCATCACGCACCTCTGGGCCATGCTCTCCAACGCCGGCATCGCGAAGCGCGCAACAGGGGAATGGCATCCGCCTGCTTCCACTACAAAAAAGTAAGCAATTTGTGAGCTACACGACTAGCCATGGGTGCTAATTAAAACACCCAGCTTGTTAATCTTTTGTACTCAAGCCTCCAACTGGTGTGATGTTAGGTCCTGCAAATTTTGGTTTTTGATTTTGTTGGTCCATTCTATCTAGCTTCATATGGGATTTTTTTTTGTTGCTTATTATGCAGAGGACCACCAAAGAAGATAGAGACCACCAAAGCAAGAACTCAGGAATGCCCCTTTTAATGATGGGTGTTAAGGCCCAAGGAAAAAGCAAGCTAAAATTAAGGCAATTTCACAGACCTGCAATGGCCATTAGAAGCAAAGAAACTTGATCGTTCTAGCTCTGCAGTGAGCACAATAGTGATCAGCATGTGCTTTTGTGCTTAGTTATACCTACTTATTATACCTTTACTGAATCTGGTGAATCATGCTTGGGCTTATGTGACCATGTTCCGAACTAGTAGTGTTGAACTTCTTATGTTGTGTTTCAGATCAGTTTGTCAACTATGTGTTGGGCCGGATGTTGGGCTTATGTATTGGCTTTATTGAACATGTACTATTGAACCTAGCTGTGTTGAACATGTTCTCTGTAATCAAGCTGTGTTGAACATATGCCAGATGTTGGCCTCATGTATTGGCTTTGATTTGTTGAAATGTGCTAGTGAACCGGCAAAATATTCAGTGCAAACCACATCTTCAGTGCAATGTGTGAAAACCCCATTAAAACCATACTTAGGAGTTTTCAAAAAATTTGAAACTACGCATACCAATAGTGCATCTATATACATGCATTGTGACAAAATTTGAGATTCAAACTCGTTTTGCAAAAATTCATATGAAAATAACAATTTTGATTTGCATCTATGGAATCAAGCCGTGTTCAACACTTCAACTTGTTATAGTTGTGTGATGGTTGATGATATATGTTATTATTATATATTATTATTACAATATCTTGTGATCCTCATTTGTCTATGCTATAAAAATGTTCTTATATTTACCAATCATGTATGCTTCGTTTTGCCAACTGGGACTACAGAGAAGATAAATCTTGCCATTGATATGGAAACAAAATGAGAACGTGACGTTTACATATTTGTGAAACAAATGAGAACGGACGACGACGAGGCGGAGGGCGAGGTGGTGGTGGGCGCGCGGAAGCCGATGTTCTCGACGGCGCCAACGGTGTTGAAGAAGAGGCGGCGGTTGAGCTCCTCCACCAGCGTGCGGTGCAGCAGCTGGCTCCGCATGTCCACCATCGACCGGTTCCGCGTCATCCTCCTCCGCCGGCTGGTCCCGTCGTTGTCCTCCCGCCGCCGCGGCCGCCCAGCGTGATGGTGCTGCGGCGACATGCTGCACTGCCGCTGCAGCTGCCGCGCGAGCTGCACGGCGGCGGAGCTGCTGCCACCGCTGCCACCGAACCTTGTCTTGGATGAGCCGCTGCCGGTGCAGCAGCCGGGCATGGGCTCCGCCTCGTCGGCACCTGAGGCGTAATGCAGAGGAGAGTACTTACCGGAGTGCACGGAGCTCATGTCATCGTCGTCGCTTAAAGCGTACCAGTGATGATGATCTACACCAACTAAGTTTTTTCAAAAAAGAAAATGCGCACGTGTCAAGGCTCAATGTCACAGCACTCTCCCGTGCATGTGTGCACACTGTGTCATGTATGTATGTACAGTTGTAAGCATCTAGATACGATCTATGTCCATATACACACATGTCGGCAGGCATTTGAAATGAATGGACTATACATCGTCACAACGCGAAATATAAGTCATGGTCATGCCTACGTGGACAAGGAACAAACACACATGTCGGCAGGCATTTGGGGACCGTTGATGCCTACGTGTACTGCATGCAACCTTCCTAGGGTCAAAATTGTCCGGCCTGCACGTACGGTGGTACGACTGCTGCATGCGGTCCCAAAAGAAAAATGAAAAGGACCATGAACCAGAGAGGCGCCATAGTCAACATTTCGGCGCAGGTCCAATTCATCGGTTGCCTACGTCACGCACTACACGTAGGCGGCCACATATGTACAAAAGCAGTTGATACGTTTCGACCTAACCTTACTAAACCTTGGGCCTAAAGAATTCATCCTAAATATTTTAGAACCACTTATAATTTAAAACCACTTATAATTTAAAAACTTACTAAACACATGTGCGCCTAGGGAGGAGGCCGTGCGGTGGCCACTTTGCCCTAAATATTTTAGAACCACTTATAATTTAAAATAAAGGGAGTATATAGCACCATAACACAAACATAAATTGTGGTCATGCCGTGGATAAAGAACAAAACAGATGTTATGTATGAAAAAAAATAACTTATAATTTTAAATGAATGGACTATATATCGTCACAACGCGAAATATGTCATACATACACGTATGACATGTGTATTTTGATACGTTTCGACCAAACCTTACTAAACCTTGGGCCTAAAGAATTCAAGATCAGGCACACAACAATCTCAAAATGTACCTCTACTCGACTACTCCCTCTAGTGGCGTCATATTTGCATATTTTTATAGGAAAAAATCTAGTTTTCAAAACAAATACCCTCAAATTTGTAACTTTTTAAAAAAAAAGAACCAATCAATTTATAAAAGGAAATTTGTAGCTAAGGTTACCTTTGGACCAGCCACCGCCACGTGGACCAGAGAATCCTCCGGAGGTGTAAGGCCCCACCCCGCAGTGAGAGCCATGTGAGGAGGCGGGAGATGAGGAGAGGTAGCAGCAGAAGGGCGGAGGCCGCTCCTCGTCGTTTTCGTCGTCGTCGTCGTCACGTTCCGCGTACGTGTACTCGTGCTGCTGCTGCGCTCGCCCCGGCAGCAGCCTGCCGATCTCCTGCTGGATCATGGCAGCGATCTCCGACGCGTCCCGGTCCGTGATGTCCAGCTCCTTCACCATCTCCTGCGCCATCTCCACCGCCGTGTCGCTCGCCATGTCGAACGGGAAGTAGATGTTGCGCGCGTGCCCTGTCGCCTCGTCGGCGATCTGTACTTTCAGGAAGATCGCGTCCTCCTCCGCGTTCAGCTTCCCGGTTATGGTCATGACGTTTCTGGGCGGCGGCGGCGGCGGTGGCAGATGTTGTGGCTCCTGATGATGCTCCACGTCGTCATCGTCTAACGACGATTGCGCCGAGACGACATCGTCGGCGGAGCTACTACACGTCGAGGGCGGCGGAGCGCCGGCGGCGGCAACAGCAGCTGGCAACGGTGGCGGCGGCACTGGCACCGTGCCAGCAGCAGCAACATGGTGGTGGTGATCAAGGAGAAAAGGGTCCAGCAGCAGCTCTGCGGCGGACGGGCGGCTGGCGGCGGGGACGAGGCAGCGTCCGATGAACCTGCGCGCGTCGTCGTCTTCCACCCGGTAGAACGCGTCGGGGAGCCTGCCGGCGGTGACCTTCTTGTAGATCTGCGCCGGGTTAGAGCACTCGCTGTACGGGTACTCGACGGTGAAAATTGTTGTTGTCGATGAGATTTATAAATTCCTAGTTTTGAGTTTTTTCGTTCGAGATCGTTAAGATGGTCCAAAATTTGATACAAACTTCAGGGAGCCAAACAGTACTGCCGCTGACATGTGGGTCCCATCTGTGAGATCCTCGACATGCCACATATGGTAGCGGGTTGAACCAAACCCAGCACCGGCTAAGACTACAAGAACAAAGAGTACTAATTATTACACGTCCAAAGCAGCTGATACAACACGCAGACCGTTTACAAACTGCACACCGAACCATCTAACGGGATGTTCGGATGATGGTTTCTGTGGCCAATAAGCCGACCGATGCTGTTTTGTTGTGAGAGAAAAATATTGTACCATGGCTGATAAGTTCAAGCGAACAGGGCGTAAATTAGGGAGCCAGATTAGGTGACTTTACGGAGCAAAGTTACATTGTAACTTTCCTGCTATCTCCACCCTCCATTCCGTATCCAACGACTCAGCACACATTCAAAGCAAAAGCCTACAACGCTTAGCATTTTTCGTCCACTCCGGCAGCAGTCTGCGGCAGGTCCATGCCGGAGCTCCGGCGGGCTGCCTTCCCTTGCGGCGAGGAAGCGGGAGTCCAGCAAGTCGTCAACAAGCTCACCCTTCTTTGATGATGATGATGATGCTTACCGTAACAGCAGTCTGCTGCTGTTGGATTGTTGCAGATATCCCTTTGTGCAGATATCCCTTTGCTGCTGGGGAATGGGTCACTGTCAAAGATTTGGTGCAGCGAGATGACCTGCCGAATGAGGACAAGGACATTTGGCTCCTACAGCTTGTGCCGGCTTTTAGCAAGGCGCTACTATGGGTTCCACTGCGCCGAAGAAGGAGATGACAAGGTGCGCCGTCTTGCGCTGACGGACCTGAGAACAACATATGGGTACAAGAGGGCATTCACCATTGCTGAGGTGCAGTTGGCTTTCCTTCACGATTACTTCTTCACCGCCTCCCTCCCAATCATAGAATCAGGATTGAAGTACATTGATGCTGCACAAAAGTTAATGGAGGCATTCACAATGATCATTTCAGTCTTGTCTAGTGCCATTATTCCAATCGCCCCGATTGCAACGTTTATGTCATCGTGTACACTATTTGAGACCCCAATGTCGTTGCTGGTTAAAAATCTTTTGGGCATCTATTGGCGTCCAATACACACTGCTTTTCGAAAACTCAATGGTCTCCCCAACGACCGCCTCATCATCATCCGTTTTAGGCCTAATCCTAATGCGCAGGATGTTTTTGACCCGTTTCAAGCTCAAACTGGTGGTGCTTACTGCAGGAACAAAATAGGCCAATACTCAATTCTCCAAGACTACAACCGTAGTCGCTTTCCCAAGAAGGCACTTGTAGCCTGGTTCCACAGAATTGTGCTATCCCAACCATCGTATGGGTTCATCAATCATCTCCCAGTAGAAGAAGAAGTCGATATGCTGCAGCTGGACAACATGAGAGAGTTGGTTGCTGATACTCCCTGAGATATAGATGGCCCGCCAACAAACGGTACCAGATCTCTGAAGATTAACATGGATCAGATAAACAGGGACGAGATAAGCAGGGGCAGTGCTGGTTATGACTGGTTATTGACCTGCAAACAAGAAACTCACACGGACACCATCCTCATATGGCACATAGCAACCTGCTACTGTGACATGTCACTGCGCCATTGTGATCAGCAGGAAAGGTTCCCCCGATTAGCCGACACCGACACTTTCCATGAAGTTGCCACAACATTGTCAAGATACTGCGCCTACCTAGTGGCCTTTCTTCCGGAGTTCCTCCCGGAGCACAGCCTGACCACCAAACAAGTGTTTCAAAGAGTCTTGCAGGAAGCACAGGGTGCACTAGGAACAACGCCTATAGAAGAAAAGGAGAAGCACACCAAGATGCGAGAGCTACCGCTACCGCACCAGCGTAAGCAGCAGACGACCTTTCACAAGGGTGTTGAGCTGGGACGACAACTGGAGATGATCCATGACGACAAGGTACGCTGGAGGTTCATTGCAGAGTTCTGGGCGGAAACAATCCTGTACGTCGCGCCGTCCGACAACGCGGAGGCACACATCGAGCACCTGGCCAAAGGCGGGGAGTTCATCACGCACCTCTGGGCCATGCTCTCCAACGCCGGCATCGCGAAGCGCGCAACAGGGGAATGGCATCCGCCTGCTTCCACTACCAAAAAGTAAGCAATTTGTGAGCTACACTGCTAGCCATGGGTGCTAATTAAAACACCCAGCTTGTTAATCTTTTGTACTCAAGGCTCCAACTGGTGTGATGCTAGGTCCTGCAAATTTTGGTTTTTGATTTTGTTGGTCCATTCTATCTAGCTTCATATGGTTTTTTTTTTTTTTTGCTTATTATGCAGAGGACCACCAAAGAAGATAGAGACCACCAAAGCAAGAACTCAGGAGTGCCCCTTTTAATGATGGGTGTTAAGGCCCAAGGAAAAAGCAAGCTAAAATTAAGGCTATTTCACAGACCTGCAATGGCCATTAGAAGCAAAGAAACTTGATCGTTCTAGCTCTGCAGTGAGCACAATAGTGATCAGCATGTGCTTTTGTGCTTAGTTATACCTACTTATTATACCTTTTACTGAATCTGGTGAATCATGCTTGGGCTTATGTGACCATGTTCCGAACTAGTAGTGTTGAACTTCTTATGTTGTGTTTCAGATCAGTTTGTCAACTATGTGTTGGGCCGGATGTTGGGCTTATGTATTGGCTTTATTGAACATGTCCTATTGAACCTTGCTGTGTTGAACATGTTCTCTGTAATCAAGCTGTGTTGAACATATGCCAGATGTTGGCCTCATGTATTGGCTTTGATTTGTTGAAATGTGCTATTGAACCGGCAAAATATTCAGTGCAAATCACATCTTCAGTGCAATCCATGAAAACCCCATTAAAACCATACTTAGGAGTTCTCAAAAAATTTGAAACTACGCATACCAATAGTGCATCTATAGACATGCATTGTGACAAAATTTGAGATTCAAACTCGTTTTGCAAAAATTCATATGAAAATAACAAATTTGATTTGCATCTATGGAATCAAGCTGTGTTCAACACTTCAACTTGTTATAGTTGTGTGATGGTTGATGATATATATTATTATTATTATATATTATTATTACAATATCTTGTGATCCTCATTTGTCTATGCTACAAAAATGTTCTTATATTTGCCAATCATGTATGCTTCGTTTTGCCAACTGGGACTACAGAGAAGATAAATCTTGCCATTGATGTGGAAACAAAATGAGAACGTGACGTTTACATATTTGTGAAACAAATGACACAGTTGGTGAAAAAAAATTCATTGTTGTGCTAAGAATCCAAGCTGGGACAAAATCAAATTGACTGTAGGGGTAAATCCATCCTTCCACTGCTACTATACAGTCCAATTAACAACAGTGTCATACATGACATAAATATTAAAGTAGATGTCAAATAAGACATAAATATTAGCCTGCCACTGGTAGAGTCGGAGAGAGTAGCGAATGTCAATGTGTGGGCTGTTATTAGGCTGCTTGTTTTTTTTTTTTAGAAAAGGCTGCTTGTTACTCATGTATAGTCAAGCCTCCGGCTGTGATGTTGGGCCGTCAGGCCCATTTTGCTTTATAGGGCATTTTTTTTTCTTTTTATGCAATTCATGAATGTTTTTTCTTCCATATACTCTCGTCAGTTTGTTAGTCACAGCTTTTGTAAAAATCTTAAAATGACATTAAGTATACAAATCGGTCTATATTGATATAAGGGGAGCACTATATTTTTTATGGTATACGGGGAATTTAATTTAGAAAAAAAAACTTATAGGTACTTCCGGAACAGTAATATGTACAGAGCCACAGACTATATGTTGCAAGTTTGTAAAAACCTTAGCAGTGGCATGCTAAGCCTATGCTCTTGAAAAATATAAATTTTTGCTTGCATGGGTGAACCGAACCAGTTCTCATTCGCCATTTTCCCCAGCTGCATGTATGTACATACTAACATACAGTACTCTCATCCCACGTAATTAATGGCTAAAAAAACACACAAAAACTCGATCGGACATACTGCTGGAACTAAAGGATGAAGTACTGCTGCTTATCGTCCAGCTGCTGCTTGCCGCCTGATGATCTCCTGATGCCGCGGTCAAGGCCACCACGCGCGGCCGCGGACGCGGACGATGACGAGGCGGAGGGCGAGGTGGTGGTGGGCGCGCGGAAGCCGATGTTCTCGACGGCGCCGACGGTGTTGAAGAAGAGGCGGCGGTTGAGCTCCTCCACCAGCGTGCGGTGCAGCAGCTGGCTCCGCATGTCCACCATCGACTGGTTCCGCGTCATCCTCCTCCGCCGGCTGGTCCCGTCGTTGTCCTCCCGCCTCCGCGGCCGCCCGGCATGCTGGTGCTGCGGCGACATGCTGCAGCTGCCGCGCGAGCTGCACGGCGGCGGAGCTGCTGCCACCGCCGCCACCAAACCTTGTCTTGGATGAGCCGCTGCCGGTGCAGCAGCCGGGCATGGGCTCCGCCTCGTCGGCACCTGAGGCGTAATGCAGAGGAGAGTACTTACCGGAGTGCACGGAGCTCATGTCATCGTCGTCGCTTAAAGCGTACCAGTGATGATGATCTACACCAACAAAGTTTTTTCAAAAAAGAAAATGCACACGTGTCAAGGCTCAATGTCACAGCACTCTCCCGTGCATGTGTGCACACTGTGTCATGTATGTATGTACAGTTGTAAGCATCTAGATACGATCTATGTCCATATACATAATAAAGTTATATTATATATCTAAATATTAGACGCAGCTAACGCATGGTCAGCCCATATGGCCTGCGCCCCGACACCTCATCTTCTTCCTCGTGGCATCTTCCCTCTCTCCATCTACCCTCACCCCGCCGCGGCGCGCTAAGGTTTCACCAAAGCTCTGCCACTCCCACGTACCCCAACATTGGTACAGAGACGGCCTTTACTTCCGGTGGGGAACCCCCTCTAGTCCCGGTTCCCCACCCGGGAGTAAGCATCCGGGACTAAAGGGGGTCTTTAGTCCCGGGCCAGGAACCGGGACTAAAGGGGGACCTTTAGTCCCGGTGGGTAATACCAACCGGGACTAAAGGTGCCTCCTGACATGCCACGAGGCCGGCACCCTTTAGTCCCGGTTGGTAATACGAACCGGGACTAAAGTTTTTTTTCTTTTTTCTTTTCTTTTCATTTTTTTGTTTTCTTTTCAAAATAGGTTTTTGAAGTCGTATTGTACGCTGCTAATAATATATTTATACGCGCGTATAGTATGTTTCGGTTCAAGCACAATGAACGTATTAAATGACACAATTCAAACATAGAAATATATATATATATATATATATATATATATATATATACATGCATGCATGCATATGTGTATTTTACATTATATTATTTCATGTGCATATATTACAAAAGATTGCATTATATTACAGTTGTTATGATATAACAAGTTTTCTCTCATCCTCTAGCTTGGCTTCCATGGCAGTGTTGGGTCGAAGTAGAACTCGCCCTTGGAATCGATGACCTGGTCATTAAAAAATCCGGCTATAGACTCTTGAATTGCTTTGATTTGGTCTTGCCGTATGACCTTTTCCTCCAACCATCGAGCCTACAGGTTTGAATTAAAAGAAAATAAATTAATATATATGTACATACATATATACATATATATATATATATAAAGACACAGTAACATAATCAATAATAATAATTAAATGAATATATAGTGTATTTTTAACGTACTTTGAGTCTCTGTATGAGTTCTTTGGGAGACCACCTTGATAAACTTGTAAACATAGTAACCACAGTAGTTGTTCCTCTGTTCCTGCCTCAGATACCACTTTACGAGAAAAAGATTTGTCATCCAATCTGGTGATCCGGTGAAAGCTATATGTTTAATTAATAAAGATGATGCGATTTAGGGGATTTACTTTCAAAGGGATTACATTCAGTGGCGCTTTGTATTTTTCCATGTGTTGCTTCTCAATAAAGGTTTTCCAAACACTGCCCAATAAAAAATTTGCCACGTCATTAGATATAGTTAATCATCATGTTTGTGTGTATATATAGTTGCTAGAGATATCAAAATTATCTCTGGATAATATCTATCATATCTTGGTAGTCTTGTTGTGGTTTTCTCATCGAGTCATAGATTATCAAGTGACTTTTCACCAGATCGATGTCCATCAATATCCAGTGATTGCTGCATGTGTTTATAAGATATAATGCATAACACTCATTAATTAACTAGACTCAATATATCAGCCATTAAGGATGATCGACATTATTAACACTCACTTGAAGTTGTAGGAAAAGAGTATATCCTTCTTGTGCCGTTGGTTCACTAAGAAGTTCATGAGGTTACTCTCTGACTCAGACTTCCAATTAGGCTTTGGAGTAACTGGGTCTTTGAATACTATATGGGGATCAACAAAACCAATTTCATTGCAGCCTTCCTTTCTGCGCTCTGTCATTGTAAATCTGCATATATATAGTACTTGTTAGGATAATTTATATGCATATACACACATATGATGAGTTTAATAATAGATTGAAAGAATTATTACTTACAGGCAATAGCAGCTAATGATAACTTTGTCCAGAGAGGTCAGGTGGCATAGTTGATGAAATTCTGTAAAGTCAACATACATAACATCATCGCCACGGAACCAATGTTCGTCTCTAATTCTGACACCAACGCAGAAGTCTCCACCGGTAGACGCCTGCATGTACCACTTATTTAGCAGGTACATTTGTGTTCCCAGATCACCTAAGGCTTGAGGGTTGTATAGACTCTGGCCTAGTACAAATTTTTTCTTCCAAATATCAACCTCCGCCACACTCTCAATGTTTCCATCACTAAACATCTGGTAAAGGTCGAGACCAATCTCTTCAATAAATTCACCAAGGTGATCCAAATCGACATCTGGAGGTATGTTTGCCTGATGCATTAATCCTAAATTCAAACCATATTCATTACCAACAACTAGCGGGGGGACTGATTGGTGCGATTGTTGTTCGAGTTGTGCAACTCCTTTCCCTGCCCGCTTCTTTTTCTGTGCTGCCTCAATTGATTGGGTGAGAGTGCGGTCATAGTCCGTTAACGTTGCTTTGGACAACTTACGAGATTCCCACTATTGTTGCTGGTAAGAAGCCACCTTTTTCTTAGAATATCTGGAGCTACGAAGAAGTACGGTTTCTCTGGGTTTCTCCTTGCTTCTTGATCCTTTTTAAGTTTGTCATAGAATCTGGACATATCTTTTTTATATGCATCAGTTACTTCTTCCTTCTCTTCAGATATTATTTTGGGAATAGCCCTTGATTTCACGGTGGCTTTCTTTGTCGGCGGGGCCTGGTTCTTCATTTGCGGGGCTGGCCTCTTGCTAGTACTTGGCTTCTAGGTAGGCGGGGGCGGAGGAGGCGTTGGAGACCTCCTTGGAGGTGGTGGCTGCGGCATTGGAGACCTCCTTGGAGATGGTGTGGATGCAGCCTCGCCTTCCAACACATTGTCATCGTACAGAGCACTATGATGATCTGGCGATTGAACAATTGGATTTAGGTTGGGGGAGGATCTGCTACAAAAAAAGGAATGACATATTATTATGAGCAGATTGTTAATTGTTTAAGCCAATATAAATTAATGATGTAGTGTTTTCATCCGCACCTATGGTGAGGTAGTTCAGGAGGAGATGGAGGCGACATCCCGGGAATGATGATGTAGCGCTTGCACCATAGAATGAATGTTTTCTCTGCTTCTCCTAGAGTCTTCTCGCCATCACCTCCAGGAATGTCAAGAGGCAAATCACTAAAACCTTTTTCAGCTTTATCTACCGAGATGGTAGCATATCCTTCTTGGATTATATTCCCATGAATCCTTGGTGTCTTGGTTCGGTCGATAGGATTAACAAGACCGATAGCCACCTTGATTGTGGAATTCCCCTTCGAAATGTGTAGCTCACACGATGTACAAGGTTTAGTGACGTCATCCATAGGGAAGCGCAGTCCTGACGTCATCCATTTGGTATCTCCGTGGAAGCGCAGCTACTTTTCAACTGAGCAGATTGGCTAATGTTGATTCCTGGCTCTGATGCCTGCTTGCTTGCACTCACTGCTATTTGCACTTGCCTTCTGATTTCCTCCTGCATTCTCGCTTCAAGGTTTTTTCCCGCTCCTGTGCTTCATGCACCGCTTCCTCCAACCTCTGGAGCCGCTGTGCCTCTTCTTCCTTCTTTCTTTGGCGGCTTCTGTAGGAAGGTCTGTCCTGAGGGAATCCATGCTCCCACGAGACACTTTCTTTGCCTCTAGTTCAGCCACCATGTTCAATAGTCCCGATGGCGTATGTCAGTTCATCCTTCTCTCTGTTGGGCCTGAACGCACCATTAGCAGTAGCTCTCTAAGCATAAAACAATCTTTCTGCTACTTCTTGCAGTCTTGCGCCATAAACGCACTTCCCTGTCTCCTGGTCCAGTGTTCCCCCATGAGCGAAAAACCAATTCTTTGCACGCTCTCCCCACTCCAATGATCTGGTGTGATACCCTTGGCAAGAAGGTCTGCTTCCATTTTGTTTCACTTCTTAATGGCAGTCGGGTAGCCACCTGATCCCAAGTTATGGTGGTATGTCTTCTGTTGGGCATTATGTTAGTTCTTTATCACCCGACTCACACCCTCATCCGACGTCTTGTACTGTACAAACTCATCCCAATAGGGCCTCTGCTTTGAGATCGGGCTTGGGACAGTGAAATCTGGTGCTATGTTCTTCTTGACATATCGTCGTGTATAGGTGTTTCTTCCAAGTCTGGCTGGTGGCCATCTTCTTCATTGCCCAATCCCTAACTCGCTCCTTTAATTCATCACCATCTATTATATCATCATAACCATCTGTTTGGAGCGTGAAATGTACCAAGACATCTTTCCAAATTAACGTCTTGTCACGATCGGAGACAAAACTGATATGAGGAGCATTGGTCTTCTTCTTCCATTCGCGGGTACTGATCGGGAGCCGGTCCCTTACAAGGTAACCACAGTGGTGCGTGAATTTCGTTTTATTTGCCCCCCCCCCCGGTTCGCCTGTATCCACATTGAACTCCGAGATGATGAAGCGGCCCTCCAATGGCTTTTTGGGACCTCGAACATTTTTACTCTTCGTTGTAGTTGTTAATGTCGATCCAGAGGGCTACAAAACATAAACATTATTTTTAATGTCATGAGCACACATAAGACATATGATAATATATATAGCTAATAATAAAAAATATATACTTGGCCAATATCTTGTTGCTCATTTTGTTCAAGAGCTAAGTACTGACTCCCGTCATCTGCATCCTCTTGCACGTTATTTTTAGCACCATCATCGCCGGCAACTTGAGTGCCAGTGTTGATCAAATTCATCATCA